AATTAATTAATTATAATAAACTTATTTTTAAATAATGTACTGTGCCAAAAATATGACATAACAATATCAAACGAAGATCTAGAAGTCCTTATAGATTGTACAAAGAAAGAGAAGTCCTTATAGATAAATGAATATAAAATTGATAGTGAGATTATGGATTCACAATGAATTGCAGGCGTGAGCTTTGGAATGGTTTTCTTTTACTACATTATAATAAGTCCAATATTTCTTCAGTTTCGTCCAAAAGTAATTATGTTCCATGCCACTGTAAAAGGAAAATGTTATGTTCCATTACAATTATTTATGAGAAATTATCTTCAGTAATTTTTTTTTCATAATTATACATTAACAAATTATTTTTTGTTGTAAAATAAAGAAAGAATCAATAAAAAGAAGAAGAAAAATTAGAGAGACAAAGTGAGGTAATACAAATGTATATTATATTTCTATTTCTTTCTTCTCCATACATTTCCATTTATTCTCTATATATTTGCAAGAATACAAGTCCTATATATAAGGGTCAATAGGGGAAAGGAGTCACACAAAATTAACACCTACTAAATAGAAAGTTACAAGAATTAATCTCTCATACTAATGGAAGGGTTACAATGAATCTTATTATCACCATCTAAATGCATGGTATTATGGAATGTTAATCACCGTTGTAATTACATGGAGGTAGTGGAAGTTACACCATTACTTGGTGTGTAAATAATATGGAAAGTGAGGAGGTGAGAGGATGAAGAAGGTGAGACATCCATAATGAATTGAGTCATGATACTCTCCTTTGGATGTTCACCTCTTATTATACTCTTATTATACGCTTGTTAAACTGCTTTATTAAAAACCTTGCTAGGAACAACCCAATGGGAAAAAAAACCTTGGCAAAGGGAAAAAGAGTCCAATGCGTATAATACTCTCCCTGAATTCAATGTATATTCAAAATCAAGCAATTTATGCAAATTAAGTGTCTTAGCTGCTCAAAGTTCTAAAAGCCAATGATTTTGTAAAGAGAATCTGTTGGCTCCTAACTTGAATAAATTTAATAGACACTATTTCATTATGTATTTGGAATACTGATCCAAAAACATCACGCAATTTTTGTGATTTTAATTCTACTTGGATCATCTCTTTTCATATTGGCCAATTATTTTTCGTCGACAATTTTCAATGAACTTGATCCAAGATGCTCACTTTCGTTGACTATATCCATTATTATTGCATATGCAAGAATTTTTTGTCAATAATAATTTCACCTCATTTCCATCCTCTTTTAGAAGTACTATAGAGATCTCATTATTGTTTATAATTTCAACATTCTCATCATTTTCAAGTGTATGAACCCTTTCTTAAGGTTAGTTCATTAGGAACCCTTTAAGAGCTTTATGATTTCAGCAGAACTAATATTCTGCTTATTCTTTCTCTTTATTCTTGGATTTCTATCTTTAAAACCATTCGTTCTAACATGCTTCTAATGTATACTCATTTGCTAATATTTTAGCAACTTTTTTTTTTAATAGGAATATCAATATAAGCAGGATTACTTATAGCTTGAATATATGATATATTATTTTCATTTCCTCAATAGATGTATCCATCAATTGATAATATAGAATTTTGAAATTCTAATTCATATCAACTTATTCGAGGATCTTGGAAGATGCATCTCAAGTTATCTTCTACCTTCTCAACATTTATTTATCTCCCCTTGATGCTAGGATCATGATTCCTTCAGATTGACAATCAACAAATTTTGTTGTAAAAAGATTCACAATCAACACATATAAACTCCTAGCTCTTTTTAGGATTATTAAGCCAAATATGCTCTCAACACATTATTTCATATTATGTAAGGGACTATTTTGTCACTTTCATATTCAACCACATGTTAATGCCATAATATATCAACATATAGTTCAAATAATTGAGTATAGGTTTATATGTCTCCTTAAATTCAATATAGCAATGAGGGAGATTATATTTCAATTGTATTTGTAAAAGGCTTGGTAATCATGTTCTTAGGGATGCAACACATAAAAATCACATGATGGCCAAGTTACTTAGGCCCAAATCATTCTAGGATCAACTTTTTGATTAGGCCTAATGTTTGATTCTATTAGATTTATGTATGTAATTCAGAAGAGAAAGCTTTTCAAATATGTGTCTTTTGGTTACATAAGAGATGCGACATAAGGGGTATTTTGTACTATTCTCATTTATGGTTTCAATATGATAATCATTATATGTTTGTACCCCTAAAGTTTAGTATATTCCAATATAATCTACTAGGATGCAACTAGTCACATATTTAAAATTTTTGCTTCTCCAAGCTACAAATTTCAAGCTTTTCAAGAGCTTTCAATATTTAACAATGTACAATCTCTTTGAATTTTTCAATCAAGCTTGTAACATGAAATATCACATTAGCTTCAAGTTAAGTGTAACTAGGAAAAGTTTTTTTCTTTTCTTTTTTTTTTTCAAGATATTTCATCATGGCACAACCTTTTGCACATAAAAAAATGGCACATAATTTGTGAAGTTTTATTCCACTATTATACATTTTGTATAATAGGAGTATATGTAGACCATATTTTACTTATCACAGAGGCATTATTATACCTTCATTATATGATAACAATATTTTACACAATTTTAACTTTTCATTACTATAATAAGGATGCCCTTTTTTCAAACTATTTCTCCATCAATATGTAACATCCATATGGAGAGATATAGATGAGATTAATATGAATATCAAAATTTGGGATATAAATTCTCCATATGAGAAATGTTATTATAAAATTCATATCCATCCATAAATGCATTCTTGCATCTCATTTTCTCATTGTAAATGAATTCTTATTGATGAGATTTAATCTTAAAGAATTCTTCCTTTAATTCACAATTCCCATATTATGATGTATATTTAATTTTTCAAATATTTGATATACTTTTTCTCAATATTCTTAAAATGGATATAATATATCCAAGTTTAAAATAAAATTGTGTATCACAAATATCACAAATATATACCCATAATAATATTTTTCACAAAATATATTTTTGCACCTTTCCCTTCTCATTGGGTAAAACTTGGAATAAATCAAGCAAATACTTGGAAATAAATAGTCACATGAATTGATAGGATAAAGATATGTGACCAATATTCATTCATGTCACATCGAAGAATTCTCAAATTCTTTACCAACTTATTTTGCAAATATTTTCATTTTTATAGCCTCATTTCACAACAATATTCATAACCATGATTATAACATGATATCACATTCCTTTTTAGGAATGGAATCAAACCAATGGTTGCGATTGATGATTTTTCATCAATTCATAATTTTGTTAGCTACAAGAAGACATATATTTACTTTGAATATATATGTTAAAATTACCCTCTCAAGATTGCTACTTTTGGATCATATTCAAGGCATGAAAAGAAGAGTGTATCTGTTTTAGTATATCTTCACCAATAATAATTTTTCTTATGTATAAAGTAATTCAAAATATTTACGGATTCATACTCGAATAATAAATGGATCCTTTAATAGCTAGCTTTTTGGAAGAGTTGAAATTTTCTTTTGATGATCATATTTCTTCCAAACAATTTCATGATTTCAATGAATTATTCATCAACAAATATTCATCTCTTAGTAATTTTTGGACTTCATAATGGAGAAATATCATTTTATCACAATCCTTCAAGGACGCTCGTTTTGTCAAAAATATTTTTCTTTCTTTAAGAGATATATTCTCTTCTATAATTGAATCTTCAAGATTCATTGGAGGTAAATGAATTTTCACATCAGAAGTTCATGACAAATAGTTAGAGCCCAATTTATCAAAGGCAATGAATTAAGTCTTTTGACAAGTACAAAACAACATATAACAAAAAATCGTTAATAGTATCATAGAATATTCAAAGAAGAAAACAAGAAATTGAAAGAAAATTTTGCCTCAAAATCTTATCTCAAAACTTTATCTGAACTTATATCTTTATCTCAATTTGTTCATCATCTCAAAAAAGATTCATGAATAGTAATTCATATAGAGACAAGTCGTACTAATAACGTATCGTAAAATAAAGAAAGAATCAATTAAAAGAAGAAGAAAAATTAGAGAGACAAATTGAGACAATGCAAAGATATATTATATTTCTATTCATTTCTTCTTTATACATTTGTAATAGTACAAGTCCTATAGGTAAGGGCCAATATGTAATAGGAGTTACAAGGAATTAACACCTACTAAATGGGAACTTACAAGAATTAATCTCCTACTAATGGAAGGGTTACAAGGAATTTTGATATCATCATCTAAATGCATAGCATTATGGAGTGTTAATCACTATTGTAATTACAAGGAAGTAGTGGAAGTTACACAATTACTTAATGTAGTGTAAATGCTATGGAAAGTGGGAAGGTGAGAGGATGAAGAATATTAGACATCCACAATGAACTTATTCATAACATTTTT